GGTAATATAAATGATTTAGGAATCGTTGTCTATGTACTATGTACTTCAAATCTCATCCATCCGTCCCTTTTCGTGTTTATTAACACGGTTAACGTTGCATTGACAATATTTGACACAAAAAAAGCTGCCATTCTCATTTAGACATGTCTTTTTATGCAAACGTGTACGACTAGAGAGCTGAGTGAAACTAAAGGAAAGTAAAGCTCAAAACAAACGAAGAAAGTCGAATCATATGAATTAGAAAATGAAAAACATATTACAAAACCGTCAATGTTTACTCAAGTGGAAATCACGTACGAATATAAAACTGTATTGACCTTTGGTGCCATTAAGAATATATATTATATATAACTATCGCGATAGTTTTAACACAATGGCAAACTACGTCAACGGAAGTTGATGAGTAATGTTTGATTTGGCAAAAACTCGTCAAACGCGATGAAACGCTGGTATAAAAGAGGGGCAGATTGACCAGGTATCACTAACCTGAGTTTCACAAGGCAAAGTAAGGCACTTGCAAGTATTTACTGCATCGTCTGAAGATTTTGAAGAAATCATTATTATACTAATATATCAGAACGTATTTAAAAATGAGATCGTTTTGGTTGACGCTATTACTGTACGCTGTTTTGAACGTGGGCCAAACCGAAGAAACAGGCAAGAATTTTTAGCAACTTTACATAGCTAACCCGATATCATTGCACGGAATTTTGAGTCTTATGCGGAGGTATTCTTTTAACAACGTACATTTTAACGAGTATCACCGTAGACAGAAATTATACAATAAGGCAATTTATTCAGCCGGAGAACTGAAGCGTTTCAATTTGAAAACTTATTTTCTATGAATTATTTAAGTTGCAAGTTCAAATGAAGCAAAAACGTAATCCATTACGTGGAACCTAACGTTTATTTTCGATTAGGAAAATTTAATTTTCAATCGCTTTTTTTCTTCTTGATCTTAGTTCTTTACTTTTCGCATGTCTGTCTGTCTTGGCCAGCATTTAGTATTACTAGTTACAACAAAAACACTCAAGCCTTACCTGACGTCATCATCATTAACATATTGGAAGTATAAACCTTTATAACTTAGAGATGCATCACTCAAAACAAGAAATATTTTACCAATCAACTATTTACTTCATGTAGAATCAGTACTGAAAATATTGTGGAAGGGTTCATTTGCACTTTAAGTATTATTKATTTAGGACATTTCTTTTTTGCAATACAGAGTATGTCATTAAGGTAAGAACAGGGACATCCTTTGGAGCTGGCACAGATGCTAATGTGTTTATCAAGATCATTGGTACTGATGGTATTACCGCTGAACACAAGCTTGCAGGCTCAGGAGACCCCTTTGAAAAGGGCAGGTATGTTTGCAGTACCGCTTTTTCCTCATTTTAGACCACGTATCATCCCCAGAGCATGATTTCTTTGTTTAACGGTTGCGCATGAAAAGAAACATGGATATAGATACAACTCTAAGGCTGCGTTCATCATGTATGGCGTGAGGGGGGATGTTGAAAATTATTATAGCCTTTTCAAATTTTCCCTTGCCCCCCCCCCCTCCCTGACATAAATTATGAACGCAGCCTAACAAGGAGACATAATTCCAAGATGGCGCGGTCCCCTAAAACAGCCCAACATGCATTGCAATTCCAACTCGACCCAGTTTCCCCTCAACCCTAAAATAAATAATTTTAATTAAAGTGCTACTACGACGAAAATCGCTCAAACTTGGATTCAGCTGAAACTTCCTAAAAATACTCTTTAAAGGTCCAAAAATCAAAGTATAAAGTGTTTTCTCGATATTCAGGACGAAAGTATGATATTTTTACGATTATTTTTTGGAGTCTGTGACGTCATATACTCAACATCAAACATTGCTACACATATTTCTTTGTATATAAATCCTTAATTTATTTTATTCC